CACTGCCCTCAGCACCGCCACCTCCATTACGCCAGGCCCACATCACACCATCTAGGAAAAGGGGCCCGTAACTCAGAATTTTTCACAGAAGTACAAACACACAAGCAGTTAATAAACACCTCAGGTTTATTCTCCCCCCACTTCTGAAGCCGTCTCATTTAATTTACATATACATAGTATATAAATGGCCACACAACATTCTTTACATACATTAACACACGTTTAGGTTTTACTACTGTGTGAAAGTTTATTAGAACATACCCACCATTTCCTCAAAATAGATCTTTGTTATAACATGAAAAAAGAAGTGTGTGTAACTTGGACAGCAAGCACTCAAAACAAATACGTGAAACGAATGGTTTTACACTGGCTAAATCAGCCTCTATCTTTTTTTTTTTTTATCTTAGTAGAAAAGTCCTCTCAACAAAATAGAACTCTGGGGATCAAGTCAGATGAATAATTTACTATTTCTAAAGCAACCCCGAATCATATAAATATACGGGTTAAAGAAGGTCATGTGGACCAAGCACAGGTCGAAGGAACAGGAAGGATTTGATCATTTTGCCCTAGATAAAAGGTGTTTGTAGACAACAGCTCTGCCATCAATACACACAGTAGATGTTTCCGTATCTGCCCAGCCCCAGATTTTACTGACAAGCCCTTATCCCTGCCAGTGATGTTTCCCCAGCAACAGAAGTCTGACATCACTGCTCCCCAATGGGAGAATCAGAGCTCTCCTCATTTTGGTCAGGGAGGGACCTTGAGGTTTGGTCCAACCAGCAGAATGTGCCTCCTGGAGCCTGGTGCAGACCAAACGTCAGTGCTACCAAGGGCTCTGTGCCTGGGAGGCAGGAGGCAGGTCCAGGGGGAGGAAGACAGGCCTCCACCTTTCTGAAGTGAAAGAATGAGGCCATTTACCTTGCTGTATAATGATCTGCTTCCATAAAGATTACAGCCAAGAAAACCCTATGGGGCAATTCCACTCTGTCACATGGGGTTGCTATGAGTAGGAATCGACTTTATGGCATTCAACAACAACAAAACCCAAACTCATTGCCATCGAGTCAATTTCCACTCATAGTGACCCTATTGGACAGAGAACTGCCCAACAGGGTTTCCAAGGCTACAATCTTTACGGAAGCAGATTGCCACATCTTTCTCCTGCAGAGTGGCTGACGGGTTTGAACCACCGACCTTAGCAGTAGCCCAGGGCTCCTTTTCAACAACGTCATAAAATGCCTGTTTTTAAAAAGGCCAGAAGACACGGCCATGCTGCCGGAAGCACACTGAAGAACCTCCGTGTCTCAGGTGAACTCAAAGCCTTTCTCCTCCAGCACACAGCGGACACACCCTGCACTTGCCTCTGCTTCTGGTCCTCAGGAGAGCCTGCCAGCAAGCAGGTAGGTTTTATCGCCGTATTTCCCAGGTGAGGACGCTGAGGCCGGAAGGGCAGTGACCCTGACTGCTGTCACGTAGGACTGCGTGAAAGAGCCAAGCCTATCTCCAGGTCTTCTGACCGGCTGACCTGTGGCCCCTTTCCGCCTCATCTCTCAAGGACACATCCACTCTCTCTCCTTCTGCCATCATCAACACAGAGAGCGCACAGGTAGCGACCCTGCATCCATGCAGGACTCTTGTGTAGGAACATCAGGGAGCGTTTGCTGGGCACAGCTGGTTGCTATAAACACTCCCATCCCTGCCTGGTCTCATTTGCACTGCCCTGTGCAAACAGCAGGTTCTCTGAAGGCCACCTGTCCTGCACATTATAATGAGTGGCCAACTCCTTCGAGGAACAGCAAACAGCAGCCCTGGCTAAAGGTTCAGCATGCAGCCCCATGGACCAACGGGCAGCTCTGTCTTCTAGCAGATAGAGAGCCCCAGCTCTGCCCCTACTTCCTGGGCCCCACAAGATGGCCTTGCTGCTAGCTGTCATCTGTGATTCTGAGCAGTGCTGGCCACCAAGTGCCGCTCTGCCTGCCCCAAACCCAACTGACAGGTACGCACTGGGGGCTCAGTGCAATCTGCTCCCCATCTGGGGCCCCTGCACCCACCCTATCAATTGCAGAGTTCCTTTATAGACCCCCAGACTCCAGTTTCAGCCTCTGTCCCCAGGGCTGCAGTGTGTGGAAGAGGCAGACAGGCAGAGGACACTTGGAGAGCGGGGATACCCGGGAAAGAACAGAGGGGCTCAGTGAGGCTGAGAAGCAATGATTAGGTATTTTCAGTTCAGCACTCCTCCAGATAGCCTTTTCCCACCTCTTAAAGAGCTTCCAAATGTTGGAAGCTCACAATGCATGTGAGCAGAGTTCACAGGTAACACAGGTACACACCTGAGAAGCAAACCCAGCAGTCTATGGGCACATTCCTCCCTCTGCAGGCAGTGAGGTGCTAGCACCATAAGGAACACCACCCCCAATGTGCCCCAGTGGGCTGCACCCAGAAATGGTCCTCGTCACAGTAAGCTAGCCTAGGGAAGAGAAGGCCAGGTTCTACATATTCCCTTCATGAGGGGACCTGGGGAAGGGGAAACCCTTTGGGCTTTGGCCCCTGGTTGGCAAAGCCTGCCCAAGGGCACTGAGCCATACCCACCCCCACTTTTGATGGACAAAACATAACACTCGGATGCTCAACGATCTTGCAACATCTGATACCAGAAGGCACTTTTAAGGTTTTGTTTCCAACATTATTCCATCTACTCCCAGATCTAGCGCTGTGATGTCAGCTGGGCAGGTAGCACTTAACCACTGGGAAAGCAGAGGTGCTAGAACAGCAAGGAGTCCATGGCAGAGCGAGGATAAGTCCGGGGATTCGGAGCCAGCTTTCCAACATCAAGGATCACAGAGGGAACTACAAACCTCCAAGTCTAGACCAAGTCAACCCTGAGCCTGGGATTTCCCTTCAACTAAATCTTCAAAATATCTTCCCTATCATCAGCCTCTTCCTCTAGTTAGCTGAGGCTTCTTCGTAGCTGGACTTCGGTTAAACAATGTGTTTGTAGTCATCATCCTGTACTGTTTCTCTAGTCATATTTTCCCTCTTACAAAACTGAACCTCAAACCCTATGCATATGTTAAGTGATTAAGATCACATTTAGCCACGTGTGGTAACACCTCCTCGGTGGGCAGGAGGCATTCAGCAGGAGGCACCCATCTTCAAGTCCTGTTCTTTATTGCTTGTGAGTGCGGATCACAGGCTCAGGCTCCAGAGCATCTGGGCCTACATGGGCACCCAGCAAAACCAACGCCACGTGGGCTTGAAAACAACCCATTTTTGAGCTGTTCTGATAAAGCTTTTTAAGCAGTTTTTGTTTTGTTTGTGCATGTGTGTGCGCCTCCAACTTAAAAGGCTTTTTCTCCCTCCTTGGCTTCTCATTCTAACTCACCACCTCTCTGAAATTATTTCCCAGAAAGACTTCAAATTCAACCTGCTGCAGAAAATTACACAAATACAAACTCAATGGAGAGACAGCTCTGAAATTTGTATCTGAGGATGTTGCCAATATAATTTTCATACCCAGATACTTCACGTGTGATGAAAAATAGAAAATTCTGTTATAAGAAAATAAAATTACTATGGCAACGTTTTCCCAACACAGTTCCCAGTCACACACACTTGTTTTTCTTAAAGTAATACCAAGGTAGCTCAAGAACAATACATCACCAGTACAAATAAATTCCCTAAAGCTACATTCTTGCTTTCCCCACCTACTCAATAACTCTTACAATGATTTTCAACGTTTAAAAACTATCAGAATAGGATGTTTTATCATCAAGACCACATAATTCAACCCCAAATATTCCACGCAACAGTGGTTGAGCTATTCACGTTCCAGACTTCCATCAAGAACAATCCAAAGGGCAAACTCTTGAAATGGCCTCCTTAGTACCAGACAATCCAGGATGAAATTTCTGGAGACCTAAGGGATCTTATTCAGATTCATGTTTTGGAGGGTTATGATCAATTAATTTTTTGACAATGAAAGAAAGAAAAGTAACTTTCTGGAGCACAGGGTCAATAACATTGTTATAAAGCTAAAAAGAAAAATTAATACCAACTTACTGCTTGCTCATAAAAAAAAATGAAGCCCTTGATCTAATTAAGATTATTGAGAAAGATTAGGTATAGATGAGTAATTAATTTGCGAGGCCCTCTGTGTACAGGGGTACCACTGGTGGTGCAGCGGTTAAGCGCTCAGGCCGCTAACTGAAAGGTTGGTGGTTCGAACCCACCAGCCGCTCCATGGGAGAAAGGTTACATCCATAAAGATTACAGCCTTGGAAACCCTATAGGGCAGTTCTACTCTGTCCTATTGAGTCGCTATGAGTTGGAATCGACTCGAAAGCAACAGGTTTGGCTTGGTTTGGTCTCTGTGTATGGGTACAGGGGTCAAGTATTCATTCTCATTAAAATGGCAGGTACTTGGCTGCTATTTAGAAGGCTGATATTAGCTGCCTTCCTGCACTGAGTCTAGAACATGCCAATGAATCTGTGCCATTAATTTACTCCAGTTTGTGGCCGATTGCAAGGAATCCTGAAACTCTCATTTCTGCTCATGCTCATTAGTTTATGATCCCAGTGATACTGGTTACTCAATTAATTAAAAAAAATTTCAGATATACCCTGCAAATAAATACCAAACATTTCTGTACCCACTGTCTTTAATGCACAGTCCCACCACCATAAAAGGCTGTATATAAATTAAATAAACTCAGCTTTCTTAACCATTTTCTCAGCTTAAGTTTGTTTTCACCTTAAATGAAGACAAAGTTCCATTTATATCCAAAATATATTTAAATATTCCAAAGATATCATATTGGACCTAAGTTATCAAAAATATCAACAAAACTTACGTATCTTATATTTACGAACCATTTGTAAGTTTTTAAGTCACCCTGTGCTAACTCTCATAAAAACTAACAGCCACATTTAGACTTAAAAGCTGATTTGGATTTTAAAGTGGTTCCTGGGGGATAACTGCCAATTACCAAAACTAGTGGAACTGAATCTAGCGGTTTATTGCATCCTTCAATCTAAAAGACCAAAATAATTCCATTCTGATCTTCAAATGATGCTCCTTCTGAAGGGCCCCAGATCCTGCTGTCCTAAGTCACGTGCTGCGCCAGGGATCCTGCAGAAACACTCAGCACAAAACCAGGGCTGGTATCGAGGGACCTCCTCATGCCTTCAACTGCACCCGTGAAAAAGCCCAAATCTTCAGCTTATCAGTCCAGTCTGGTTGAAAGAACTTCAAGGATGGAAACGTGAGGTGAAGTCGAGAAGCAAGAAGGGAAACAGACTGATCCTCAAAAGAAAATCCAAGGATCCGTTCACCTCATGGCAATGTCATCGTCACACTCCACAGTCAGACTGCTTCTCCTGAAGCTGCCTTGTCAGTATCTGATGCGAAGACAGAAAAGCCACTCCTATGTGGAAAAGGATTTGCCAGAGGTTCCTCAGCCCGTGCAGGTACATGTTGCCCAGGCAAATAAAGAGCAGCATCAGCATCACCTTCACGGTCCTGGCTGGACTGTAGAACAGGTACAAATAACACTGCAAGGACGCCACAAAAGATCCGATCAGAGGCAGTAAAGTGGCCACAAGGTCAGGTGCAAGTCTCACCTCCCACACCTACCACCCACAGTGTCATTCTCTGCACACATTAGCTTATTAAATAGTGTTCACTATGGTGATGCTTGGGCCCACTGGAGAGGCTGCTGTTAGTCACTGGACAAGAGACAACTAGGGATTTGGAAGAGAGAAGTTAAGTGAAATGGTGTCACAGGAGGAACTGGTGCACAGCACCCCTGAAAGAAATTTAACAAATAAAGAGAAATGCCCAGGCTGTGGGCCATGGACAAAGAAGAGATGTAGGTAAGGGGCAGCCAGGCCAGGATCCCTGACAAGATCGAACAGCCTCCAAATGAAGTGTTCCCTCAGGGAGGAGCAGAGCTGGGGAAACTCTAGCCATGACAGCCGAGTAAGTGGTGAGAAGCTGAAGGAAAGCCGTGCTTTTACTATTTTGGTTTCTCCTGAGCCACAACTACACTGAATATCACTGTTGCCTAGATACCCTCCTTGGCACCTCTTCAAAAGCATCTCTGAGTCAGGGAAAGGTCTCACAGCAGGGAGAGTGACTTGTATTCTGTGTAGGGCTATCACATGGAAAAAGGACCCTGATGGTGCAACATTTAAGCACTTGGCTGCTAACCAAAAGGTTGGCGGTTCGAACCTACCCAGCAGCTCCATGGAGAAAAGTCCTAGATTTCTGCTCCTGTAAAGATTACTGCCTAGAAAACCCTATGGGGCAGTTCTACTCTGTCACATGGGGTCACTATGAGTCAAAATCAACTCGACAGCACCTAACAACAACAACACAGAGAAAATGGGCCATTTTTGTTCTGCAAAAGGTAGAAATAGCTTTTTGGCCCAATATAAAAAAAAAACATACATACTTTCTCAAAGCACGAGCAAATCTGACAAAGGCTCAAGCTACGGTGGGAGAGAGAGTCCTCCATCGAAGGAGCTATCCAAGTAGGAATGCAGCTGAAGGAATGAAGGTGGAATGGTAAGATTGCAGCCCTGAAAGGCCTAAAATGCAGACTCTAGGAAACTTCCATCGGCAACACCCAAGCTTTTTTTTTTTTAATTGTACTTTAGATGAAGGTTTACAGAACAAATAGCTTCTCATTAAACTGGACACATACTGTTTTATGATAATGGTTAACCCCATGACATGTCAATACTGTCCCTTCTCAACCTTGGGTTCCCTATTACCAGCTTTCCTGTCTCCTCCTGCCTTCTAGTCCCTATCCCTGGACTGCTGTGCCCCATTACTCTTGTTCTGTTTTATGTGGCTGTCTAATCTTTGGCTGAACAGGCAACACCCAAGCTTCTGGAGCTTTGTTTTCTGAAAAGTGAGTGCTTTTTCAGTCTTCGGGTGAAAATTTCTTTTTGCACAATCATGTAATTCTTAAACCATTCTCAGACATACAGTTGATCCTAATTATTCATGGATTCCATATTTGCAAGTTTACCTACTCACTAAAATTTATTTGTAACCCCAAAGTCAATACTCGTGTCACTTTTGGGGTCCTTTGAGGACACGCGCAGGGTGGCGATAAATTTGAGTCGCCTGACGCAAAAAAAAAAAATCTGAGTCGCGCAACACGCACATTCCCAGCTAAGGATGAACAAGGAGACACTCCGCCTTCTTGTTTCAGCTCTCATAAGCAAGTGTCCTTTTTGCGGTCTATTTAGTGCCACATTTTTCACATTTCTGTGATTTCTGTTGGTAATTTCACTGCTTAAAATGGGCTCCAAGCATAGTCCTGAAGTGCTGTCTAATGTTCCTAAGCACAAGAAGGCTGAGACGAGCTTTATGGAGAAAATATGCAGGTTATATGAACTCTGCTCAGGCATGAGTTACAGTGCTGTAGACTGAGTTCAATGTTAATGAATCAACAATACATAATAAATAAAAAAACAACCAAACCTGTTGCAATTGAGTCGATTCCGACTCATGGTAACCCCACGTGTTACAGATTAGAACTTGCTCCATGAGGTTTTCTTGGCTGAACTCTTTAGGGAAAACCATCAGCCCTTTCTTCCTCAGTGCTGCTGGGTGGGTTTGAACCGCCAACGTTTAGGTTAACAGACAACTGCAAACTATTTGCACCATCCAGGGGTCTCAAATAATAAATAAGGGATGTTTAAACAGAAACACACATAAAACAAGATTATCTATTAATCAGTTGATGAAAATGTTGTAATTAGAGGCTCACAGGACCCTAACCCTGTATTTCTCCTAGGGGCAATGGTTCAGTATTTGCTAATTCAGTGTCTGCAGCAACTTTATGGAACATAACTACCCCAAATAACAAGAATCGACCATGTGTGCAACAGAATGGGAGTGCCCTGAGAACAAGAATTAAAAAAAAAAAAAACTTAAGCACACAGAGAAAGTATTAACATCCTAGCCCATGTGAAGGATGAGGAAAGGGAATTAGAGTCGAGTTTTAATTAGAATTAATTCTGCCTATAGGGGATTCAAAAGATCCTTTCTACCCTACCCCCTAAGTATTCAGCTTATTTGAAAATGAGTAAATAATAATCAAAGTCCTCTAGTTAATGTTCTAATTTTTGTTCCATTTTCTATGGGCAGATTTGAGTTAGATGGTATTACTATTAAAAACAGCAATTTTTCCGTATGACCTAGTCCTATCTTTAAACAAACACATATGTATAGATGTTACTTCCGCAGAAAGACATTTCTGCACTTGGACTGCCCGACAAGAGGCATGAGGCAAGACCCTGACTCACACTGGTCAGGCCCAGCCCCACCCCCACTGCAATCTCATCCCACCTTTCTTGTGAGTCAAATCCAAATTCCTGGTTCTGATGTGCTGTTGCCAATGGCCCTGTGGCAACAGGCCAGTGGTTTTCCTTTTCTGAGCTCAGAAACCCCTCCTTTGTAAAATGAGAGGATCGGGCAGGGTGGGCCTAAGGTCCTTCCACTAAGGTCTTGATATTGTCCATGATCTGAACCAAGACTTTGGCGGAACAAAAACAAATCCAGAAACTTGCTGATGTTTCCAACAGAAGAACTCACCAAAGGATCAACGTTTCACCCACCTGGAAAATGCAGGCTACAAAAGGAATAAGAAAAGCAAGAATGTTTCCAATTTCCTCCCGGGCAACCTAAAATAGGTATGAGGAACACAAGAAAGGGATATTTAGATGAATGGAAACACTATGACATGAAGTACTTTACTCCTCATTAGGTCTGGTGTGGCTGACAGTGCAAAATCCCTGGCTGGGTGAGTCCCTTTTACTTGCCAGATCAGGGGTTGGCATGCAACCATTTTCAATGGCCTGGACACACCATGCCCTTTCCTGTCTCCATGCATCTGTGCTAAGCCCTCAGTCCCACTGCCTCTCAAAATCCTACTCATCTTTCATGTCAAGCTTTCCTTAACCTCCACCCCCCAACCCCAGCACTGCTACTATGCTCTGCTTTGTGCCACGAGAGCCCCTGAGGCAGGGAGTATGTCTTAGCCACCTAGTTGGCCAAGTACCTGTTCTAGTGGGTACAAATGGACACTTGGCAGGTATCTGGTTAAGGAGCTAATGAGTGGTTGAAAACATTAAGAGTGGAAACCACACCACACATTAGCCAGAGATGAGATGCGGTAACAGTTGGTTATCATGCTTATAACACAGGCCAGCAGCCATTCTCCACACAGGTCAGTCTACATTAGCCCCCTGAGGTTCAACATCAGCCATGCTTCAGACTTTAGCCACAATATATGTAAATAAGCATTATGGTTCTATCTTTAAAGGTAACACCTATCTGTTATGCTTCTAATGGTTCTTTGCTTTTTTAAAGTATTTGAGACACTTCAAATTTTTAATAAACTGTTTTTTAAAAAGAATTGAAATGGAAAGTTGCTTTGAGATGAGCAAGCCAGGAAATAAACTTTTCAGTGATACAGTTCTTTGACAAAGACATAGCGAAGACCTATATATCTAAATTATATACATTATATGACATACTGTAAATATACTATATTGTATCTACATTATGTAAGTCAGATAATGAGACAACCTTTTCCCGGGGGAAGAAAACAGCATGAATCTTAAAGTCTGAGAATCAACCTTTGCCCTGGGTGAGTAATCCAGCCCCTAGAGTGAATCCCGGGTTCCCAAGGGCCCTGGGGCAGTCTGACATTCTTATGGCACATTGTCCATTTCTCACCAATACCCCAGCAGGCCCCTCTACTTAGGACAAGGGACACAAAAGAGCTACTTCCATATTTGTTCAACTAACTACAAGGATTAAAGTTAAAAATAAAAATTGTACCTGAATTTAAAAAATTTTAAAACCTTGGTGCATAATAATCTTATGAATAAAATGTATCCCAATCAGTTCCTTCTACCACGTTCTTCCATTTAAACGGTAAAGATGAGGTTACCTGCAAAGAATGTTCTGCAAGGTGAATTCCACGGATGAGGTTCAGGGCAGCACACATGATGTTGAGAATCAGGGAGAGGATGCCAAGGGCTGTCACTGGTTCCATTCGGAAATTAGGAGCTTCACAATTAAAAAGAAAGAAAAAAAGTGTCTAGTGAAAATAATCTCTATTCGAAAGGAAAAATAAAAACATTAACTAGACTTCCACTAATGCCAAGTTCACTGTGTTAAACACAGAATTACAAACACGTTAATTGAAAAAGGAGTAGAAGTTAAGAGGGGGAAACAAGGCAAGAAATGACGGACAGAATGGATCTGGGAACCCGAGGTTGAGTTTCTTCCAGAAATAGGCCCCTCCTCTCTGGGCAAGCACAGGTTTTTTAAGTGCTTGATTTCCTTTCTATTTAAAGCAGTGGTTCTCAATCGTGGGCAATTTGGCGCCCCAGTGAACATCTGGCAATATCAGGAGGCATGGTTGGTTGTCACTGCGGGGAGTGAGGCTGCTACTGGCATCTAGTGGATAGAGGCCAGGGATGCCGCTACATACCCTACAATGCACAGGACAGACCCCACGACAGAGATCCAGCCCAAATGTCAAGAGGGCTGAGGTTGAGAAACTCTGATTCAAAGCAATTTCTTATGTTATCAGAGAGGACTGTGGCTTTACATGTAAACTGGCTGTCAAATTTCTGAAAGCATTTCTGTCTATACCTCAACCCTCAGCTTGTAAAATGCTCTACTCCTGATAAAGTGATGGGGTGGTGAGGCGAAGGCGAGAATGAAGGCACTGTCACTCTTGAGTCCTGCCATGCCAAGAGGGAGGCCGCCAGGCATGGGGGTGCAAGCGCTGCCCAGAATGTCTCAACAGAAGCAGAAGCAGTGTGTTCACCCAGAGAAGTGCTGCCCCCTACCTCAGCAGTGCTGCCTCCCACCCCAGCAATGCTGCCCCTCACTTCAGCAGTGCTGCCTCCCATCTCAGCAGACCAAGCAGGTCTGTCAGCCCCTACCCAAGTGCCAACAGAAGTGCCCACCACTTCAGCAGTGCGAAAAGTGCAAGCAGAAGTAAGCCCCAGGCACATGACCAGAGAATGAGCCCCAGAAAAAACAAAGAGCATGAAGTCCACTCCAAGTTACCATCCCATGCCCCACTCCCTGAGACAGCCAACTGATCAGGCCTGCTCACCCCTGCTTCTCGATGCAGCCACACTTTGGACAAAGTAGCACCAGGATGGAGTCTTCCTCAATATCTCCCTCTTATTGACTAGCAGCTGCAATTTTCATCTCAGACAAGAATCTGGTTCAAAACTGTCTAATCATCTTTGCTGATATGTATCTAGATCACCCTGTTAGCTTCTTGGAAACATGGGTGGTGTGCCCAGACGCTGTTTCCTATTACCCTTCCTGTCTGCTTCTGTTCCCCAGACAATTAAAATAGAATTCCTCTGGCAAAAAAAAAAAAAAAAAAAAAATGCTGTACTCCTTTTCTGACAAGGACAACAATCAGTGTCATCTGTGCTTCTATAGCAAGTCATGGCAAATGCAATTTTTTTAATTCTAAAATAATTTGGAAGAGGAGGAAAACATTGACTATTTAAGCTACAAACTGTTTCTAAAACTCTAATTACAACAAATCATCATTCTCTCATTAAAGATAATCAATGAAATTGATTCTGGGTCACACAATTAAATGGTGTCCCACCCCACTTTCCTGTTATGCTGTTTGTAAATCATCTTTTCTTGTCCTTACATTTCACACACACATATATACAAATACCTAGTGATAATCCAAGTTATGCCTATTGTTAGTGTCTTAAAGTTTCCACTGAGTAATCCCAAATTCCCATTAGAACAGAACATGCTACCTGTAAAGATTCTAGCCTTGGGACAATAGGGTAAGTTAAACCACAGTAAGACATCCTAGAAAGGATGGGCAAGTTGACACTGTTTTCTTTTTTTTTCCTTTTGTCTAGTATTTGAAAAACAAAACATATATTACAAAGTTATCCCTATCTTCATATATGGCAAGGGAGAAGCTTCATGCTCATTTACTCAGTCTTCCTTCTACAAAAGTTAAGTTCACTCCCGATATAAATTACAACAGCTTACTGATTGGCATGAGAGCCAACACAGGAATTTACTGTTTGAAACAGATTAAATAAAAATACAAAGTTAAGGCAAATACATTAAAATCTGTACCACATCACTTTTAAAAACTCAAACAATGAGTTGAGTATAAACAATTAAAACAGAATAATTAGACTATGATATAGTGTAGAAGGAGCCCTGGTGGTGCAGTGGTTAAACACTCAGCTACTAACCAAAAGGTCAGCAGTTCGAACCCACCAGCCACTCCACAGGAGAAAGATGTGGCAGTCTGCTTCTGTAAAGATCATAGCCTTGGAAACCCTATGAGGCAGTTTTACTCCATCCCATAGGGTCGCTATGAGTCAGAATGGTGTAGACAGGATTTGACTCTTGTATCATTTCAGAACTTAGACTATAAATATCCACTGTTATTGATTTAATTATATAAGCAGGGAATGCAAAAAAAAAATTATGCTTCAGTAAATGTGCTAGGCAATTGAGTGGCTCATGGTGTTAATGGCAGGCTAAGTCACAGAAAGCCACAGCACTGTGATCATGTCCATTAACACATCCTTCTTCAGACAAGAACTCTGAAACCCACAGGGATAGAGGGATGTCCCCAGAAAGTGAGAGCCCTAGAAGCCCTGGCTCCAGGCCTTCCCCAACACTCTCACCCCACAGCCTCCCTCCAACAAGGAGGGCAGGGCCTTCTAAGTGCAGATTCAGGCTGAGAAACTGCAGTGGTTCACTAAGTGATGGGATAAGGACTCACTGTCAAAGAAACAATGTACACAGAATGCTAATCTGTACAGTTCAATGAGTGACTTCCAGCAAAAGAGAACGGATCTCCTTCACAACGTTTAAATTTGTAAAGCTCCATCTTGGTTAAGAAAACAGCCTGCCAGTCGCTCTTCAACTCCTGAATTTCATCATAAGAGCAGCCTCCCCCCAGACCAACCTACTGTCATAATAATCCGTCGCTATCGAGTCAATTCCGACTCCTAGTAATGCTATAGGACAGAATACAACTGCCCCATAGGGTTTCCAAGGAACGGCTGGCAGATTTGAACTGCCAACCTCTTGGTTAGCAGCCAAGCTCTTAATCACTGTGCCAACAGGGCTCCACTGTCATAACAGTCAAGTGTTTTATTACTGCCACCCGGAAACAGAATCAGTTCGTATTTTCCTCCACATATTTTGTATACACTATCCCCACCATCCCCCAAACAATAGCCATCCTAGTGAAAAATCAATGCCCATTTGAAATGCATACCACCGCCTCATCTTCATTTACATCAGAGAGCAGCAGGCAACTTACCAGGCTCCAAATGTACCTGTGTGTGACCGTTCATCATCCCATTTGCCACATCTGTGTCCTCCAGCATGAGAACCGCTGGAGGCTGGAACTCAAGTTCCTCCTGAATTTTTTCCAAGCTGCTCTCCATCTGTGAGGATTTTACATAGTTAAAATGCCACTTCACTTTCTGTATGATGCTGTCTGTAAAAAGAGAGCAACCCAATTTAGCATTTTCATCAGAATAGATGTTATAAGTCAACACGCACAAAATGTTCTAAGAAAGCGAATGTCAGCTAGATTCTGTGGAATATCAAGTTATGCACAAAGGTCAAATGATTACTACATATCAACCCTAGTCTGATCAATCTCTCCAAGCAGAATAATTAGGATGTGATAGTGTGTCTACAGAGATGGCACCAAACATCAGAGAAACCTCAGTGAAGAGGGAGCAGGCATACAATGGAATATTACTCAGCCAGAAAGAGAAATGAAGTCCTAGTGCAAGCCACAACATGGATGAACTTTGAAAACATGTTGCGTGAAATAAGTCAGTCACAAGAGGACAAATACTGTACGATCTCATTTATATGAAAAAAGCAACTACATAGAAACCAAAGATTATCAGTGGTTGCCGGAGGGAGGGGGAGTTTTTACTTAGAAGGTATTGAGTTCATGTTAATGGTGGTGGAATAATTTGGAAAAGGATAGGGATGATGGTTGTGCAACATGAAGAATATAGTCAATGTCACAGAATTATACATGTAGAAATTACTGAATTGGTGAATGTTTCGTTGTATATCACCACAATAAAGAAAAAAAAAGATGGAGTAAGAGTGTTAGGGGCTTAAATCTTAGCTCAACCACTTCTTCTGACAGTACAATCCCAGGCAATTCACAGAATGTTTCTAAGCTTTGAAAATCGGGGACAGTTATTTTGGACCTGATTATCTCAAAAAAAGGTTTGTGAGAAAAAACTCACAAATGAGTGTGAGTATGTTGAGCAAACTGAGACGACATATTTGAAGGGTATTGGTTTTAATTATTTGTTTTATTTTAGTATTAATCCATTATCAAGTCTTTACAAGTGTCTGAAGTTTCATACATATTGGCTGGCAAAGCAAAATCATGTATAATTCTAACATCAATGTACTTTTACTCACGCTCTACTCACGCTCAGTAATGAGGAAGCATGATGCTGGGGAAGTTCTTCTGTTCAGAGGCATACCTAAGGCATGGAAGGTAGGGTGCTTGCCCTGGGCATCACTTTTTTTTTTTTTTGGTCGGGGGGAGTGCCAACTTGGGACATGGTGCTGAGCAGTTTCTACTGGTCATTACAGTTTCCATCTCCAGCTGTGAGAGATCATGCAGCATTTAAAACTAATTGCCACAGGCCCTATTTTCCGTAGCTACGCCGCTGCCTGTCAGAGCAAGCACACTGCTTTGGAAGGAAGGCATGTGCAGAGATGAGGGGAGAGAAGAGCACAAATCCAGCCAGCTCCAAATGAACAGACAGCCAAGAGGCGCTGCAGCCGGGACCTCTTTGGGGCAGCATGCCCTCCTCACAGGAAGAAGTGGGCTGAGAGCAGTGGTTTGATTAAGGCCTCACAAGGAGACTAGGCAGAACTCTCGGTCTGTATGACAGGTTTTCCAGGCCGGGACCTGTGTACCCGGGAGGTCCCTAGCACCTTCAGGTGACACCAGAAGATGGTGCTGACCCCATTCCTTGATGGGCAAGCCTGCAGACCCCATGAGGAAATGTGAAGGCTATGGCAGTAGTTGCCAGAAAGCATAGGTGGCAACACTTCTGTGCTGGCCCTGCACTTGACCATTTGTACCAAATGCTGCCATGACATCATGGGGCAGCGGCTGCTTACACAGAGACCACAGAATGCCCCCCAACTCCCACCTCTACCCCCATCATCCCAGGAGCTCAAAGTGGCTTCAATCACACCTGAGATAACTGCAGGTTCTGACTAACAAGCTGCACTCCACAGCCCCTGAGCCTCTACAGGTCTCTCAGGTGGCTCCTGGAAAAGAAAGTCTTCAGAGCAGTGTTTCTCAGCCCTCTGAGGGAAGGACCAGGTTTGTCTCATTTCCACACTGCTGCAGGCCGATACTTGCATAAAATACAATTAGAAATATCACAACAATATCAAATGTCAAATTAAATAAGGATTTCTAAACACTTAGTACTCTCATTTTTGGTACTTACCTTATTATGGAAGGACCAGCTCAGTACCCCTTTTGAGTAGTTCTGCTCTACAGCAGAAGTCAGCAACCTTTTTTTTTAAAGCACCGGACAGTAAGTATTTTAGGCTTGTAGGACATACGGTCTCTGTCACAACTACGCAGTCAACTCTGTCATCGCAGGGCAAAAGCAGTCACAGACAATATGTAAAAGAATGCAGGTGGCTGTGTTCCACTTCATTTACAAAAACAGGCTGCTGGCCCGTGGCCACAGTTTGCTAACCCCTGCTCCAGAGGGCTGTGGTGAACAGTCTATACAGGTTTCACCCGCCCTCCGTCCTGCCCTCATGCACTGCAGGGATGAAAAGCCAGAGTGTTAAACCACGAAGCTTTCCAGGCCCCTCAGATCACTGTGAAATCTCACAGTACACAGCTGTTCTTCAGTGGCAGGTTACTGCACTGCCAATGCTTTTCCCTGACGGTGAAAGCCAAGCTCCACTCTAAGCCCTACACATACAATGCTGGAGGAGAGAACAATAAATTTGAAAGAGAGTTACGAACCAAATTCAAGAAAGGCATATGGCCTGGAAGCTAAGCCAATGCAGGTGGTGTCATAGGAAGCCGTGAATTCCCACCACAAGGTCTCCAGGAAGCAGAAGGCCATGGCTGCTGGACACTGGCGGGAACAGATAGCCATGCAGGCCACATCCCCCGAAGAAGAAAAACTGAAACAAAAGGGTGACATCTCCATTACTGGGAACCAAAACCAGAAAGCCAGTTGCCATGCAGTAGATTCCCACTCATGGCGACCCCATGTGCTGCAGAGTAGAACTGCTCCATAGGTTTTCAACCCTGTGAACTTTGGAAGCAGATCATCAAGCCTGTCTTTCAGGGCACCTCTGGGTGGGTCTGAACCACTATCCTTTCAGTCAGTAGTCGAGCACTTAACTTCGTGCCACCCAAGGTACTCCTACTGGGAGCTAGACCCAACGTATTCCCGCCCCACACCCAGACCCAACCTTGCAGCAGTTTACTGCATATATACTGTATCTTCAGCTAGACCTGTTCCTGAGACTGTGCCTTTCTTCCACTGTTTCTAAAATGTCTAGCAGTATTAGCCACTGACAGTGTGTGATTACTCTTATTGATTCATGCATGAGGGATGCATATTCCATTAGCAAGAATCAGCCTCAGACTTCTATGCATCTTTTGAGAAAAACGCTTTCCTTCTTTAATCTACATCAACAGATATTCTAATGTTAAATCACCATGGCATCCCGAAATAAACTCTTTTTGGTTGTGAGTTTATACATATTCATACACATATGACTGCTGGATTTAGTTGCTAATGTTTTATTTAGAACTTTTGCGTCTATCCTAAGATCAGCCTATAATTGTCCTTTCTTGTACTATCTTCATCTGGCTGTGGTGTTAAGGTTATTCTGGTCTGATAAAATGAATATGGGGATTTTCTTCTCTTTCTACTTTTTTCAGACTGTTACATTATTGTTATGGATTGAATTGTGTCCCCCAAAAATGTCTGTCAACTGGCCATTGTGTTTTGGAAGCAGGTAACTTGTATTCTAGATTTCACAGATGAAGACGAACTTTCCCCAGGATGAATTTGCACTTGGAGTTGATTTAAGACTTTTGTGATATGATGGGGTGAATATGTTTTATATGTGGCAAGGACATGAATTTTGGGGGGCCAAAGGGTGGAATGTTATGGATTGAATTGTGTCCCCCTAAAATGTGTGTCAACTTGGCCATGATTCCCAGTACTGCGTGGTGGTCCTCCATTTTGTGATCTGATGTAACTTTCCTATGTGTTGTAAACGTGTTGTAATCTCTGCCTGTGGTTAATGCGGCAAGACTGGGCTATGTTAAAGAGGATTAGGGTGGGATGCAACACCCTTACTCATGTCACAGACCTGACTGGTGTAAGGGGAGTTTCCCTGGGGCATGGCCTGCATCACCTTTTATTTTACAAGAAGTAAAAGGAGAGAGAAGCAAGCAGAGAAAGGGGAACCTAATACCACCAAGAAAGAAGTGCCACAAGTGGAGTACATCCTTTGGACCCAGCGTTTCTGTGCTGAAAAGCTCCTAGACCAAAGAAAGATTGATCACAAGGACCTTCCCCCAGAGCTGAAAGACAGAAAGCTTCCCCTGGAGCTAGCACCCTAAATTCAGACTTCTAGCCTCTTAAACTGTGAGAAAATAAATTTCTGTTTGTTAAAGCCATCCACTTGCGGTATTTTTCTTATAGAGGCACTAGGTAACTAAGACAACTATCATTTCAAGTTTTACAGGCTCTAGTTGTTCTATCTGTTGTGTCTACTGACTCCCATTCATTATGGAATATTTCCTTTGTGCTTTGTCATTTTCTCCAGAGTTCATCACTGTGGGGCTCCTTTATTTCTGTAAGAATCCCTCAGGGCCTGAGTTGCGCTACATTTCTTCCACAGTGGTTCAGCATTTGCTTTGGCCAACTACCCCCAGGAATGTCATCAGACTGGAACCAATACTGATACTGAACCTTGGCTTGGGAATTCCTAGACCTCAGGGAGCATAAACTCACACTCTAACCCTAGTATGAGGCACAGGATCAGGGTTTCAATTTCTGAGGTGAAATTTTTATTCTTCCTTCCCATCCCAAGCCAAGTAGAGATGAGTACCCTGTGTCAGTGAGTAGACTATTCCTCATCTAGCATCATTTCAGTAGGGTTGTAGCTGACCAGAATCCTCCCCTTTGTGCATGGGTCTGAGTTCCAACACTCCATCCTACATAGGCCCAATGGCCTCTCTTCTCATGGGTTCTGAAACTCAAGCCCCAAGTTAGCGATGATGATAACCCCAGTGTCATAGTGTTACATATTTACTATCTTGATACTCTGTTCCCCCTTCATTTCTGACACATGGGGGTTTCTTGCAAGTTCAGCTATACTTTTAAAATAATTTTTGATATATATTTACCCATATTTCTGGGTGTTTCTGGCAGGAAGATTTTTAGGTTATATCAATCTACCATCTTTTTGTAACTAGAAAATCTGTACATAAAAACTTCTTCAATTAAAAAGAAAAAAGGATGACCCTTCCTCCCCTTCTTATAAACAGAATCCTCCAGAAGGATATACATCTGTCTAGGATAGAGATATTTCTGTAGAAAAGAGAAGTCCTTAACAATAAAATAAGCTATGGTACTGCTCACCTGTAAAAAAGGAAAGCCTCAATTATCCTCTGTGAAAATGATGATGAGTATTTAATTCAAATGCAAGTGAGCAGAACATCTTTTCTGTGAAAAACAGCCCTTGACAGAGGTTTCCTATCTGAAGTGCAGCACAAAGTCCCCATAGAACGTTAGTCAATCACAGCATAATGAGGAAGGGACCACCAAGGAAGGTGGCTTCAGACCCCCAGAGCTGTGTGACAGCTGCCTGTGCCTGCTACCAGGCCATGGCCCTCCCTGCTCATCAGACACTGCTGCAAAGCCTGGTGTCTGCCCTGGGCTTTTCCTTTTGGTTTCGTGATTCTGAGACTTAATTCCCTTAAAAGGACCCTAACTTATCAACTAAATATTTACTGTGCAAGGAGAGCGAAAGAGAGACTTGCTAAGAAGTGCCTATAATACTGGAAAACACAGATGTAAAATCTATTACAAGTCATTTTGATATTTTAAAGCCTACCTCACCCCCAATCCTGCCATAGAATGACCTGTACTTGGAATAGTGCCTGGCACATAGAAAGCACTCAATAGTATTAGCTAATATTATTATTATTATAACCACTTGATCCCTACTTCTATTAGAGTACTTTTCCTGCTGTATTACAGTCGGTTATGTATTTCCCTTGTTACCTCATTAGGCATTAAGTTATTTGAGAAGAGAGACCACAGCATGACCAGGGCTCCAACAGAGACCTAGCCTCATTCATTTTTCTCTCCACTGTTGCTATCACATAATATATGCTGAAAAAACTAAAAAGCAAAAACTTTTGGGGTCCAGAAACCTGTGCATTCCAGGCCATCCAGGGAGATGAAGGGCTGAGTAGTTTGGTGGCCATGTCCTCACTTACAGGGAGATGGAGAAGGGTGGTGGGATTCTGAGCATCTAACTGGATGCCAGTGGCAAGGAGTGCAGTAGGTAAAGATGGAAGTGAGAGTGTGTCCTCCTGAATAAGAGCTGTAAGTGACGTCTTTTTTTCTTTGTTTCCTCATTCTCGTCCTTTTCCCTTCCCTATATTACAATCCAGTATCGCTTCTCTCCTCATATTTTTCTCCTCCCCTGCATCTAAGTGGGGAAAACAACCAAACTACAGGCATGAAAACTGCTTGAACTTGGGTCTCCCGATGCTCATGGGCAGGAGCCAAAGAAGCAACACACAAGGCTCTGAGAAACTCATTTCTCCCTTGTAAACACCCACAACCTCAGACCACTGTCTGATGCCAGATCTAGTTTTAGTACACAATGTGATAAGCATAAAGTTACCTCAACCTGTGGTTAAAAGTAATGCATATTTTGCTGATATTTAGGAAAAAGTGAATACGCTTGCTTACTGTATATTGAGGTCACGTCCTTCTGCAGAACCTCGACCTGGATACTGGGCTAGTCGCAAGGCTAATGTCTTGAGCCGTCTCCTGCATTCCACAAAATCTTGGGTGTGGTAGAAGTCCGTGGAGGCTGAGAGGGGCAGTCCATCCCTCACCCGTACCACACATGCAAAAAGGATCATGGACATGGTCCACAGGAGAAGTCATGAGGACACCTGAGGAATAGAAAGACACCTTATTACTGAGGGCCAGGTGATGGTGCCACAAGCACCCCCTGAAAAGTCCACTCTGGGTTGTTCAACTGCTAAAAATGCTGCTTTTATTATTTCCCTGTCCTCTACTGCTGTGTCACTCCCATTTTCCTTCCCTCATTATCCTCCCTAATGGTCTCTCCTTCATTCCTCTCTAATGCTTTCTAGAATTCAGCCAACTAAGATGAAAGAGAAAGGAAGAGAGAGGTAAGGGAAGCGGGCCCAGAAGGGCTCAGGAGCAACAGCAGTAATGAAGTGAAGGGACACAGGTAGCAAGATGGCCCTAAAGGGACAGGAAACGCCTTACACTGAAGCAGGGGCTTGCGTTCAGCTACCTGCGCATTCCAGGTCACCTAGGGAGATCAGGGCAGTTTGGTGGTCATGCTCTCACTTGCAGGGAGATGGAGGAGGGATTCTGAACATCTAACTGAATGCTAGTGGCAACAGAAGGCAAAGATGGAATAATAGAGTACGTCCTCCTGAATTTCTACAAATATTTGATACAAAGCCAGTCTTCAAAATGATGACTGAGTTCCTACAGATGGCTAAAGGAAGCCGTTCAGCAAATTATATTACGGGAAGATACTAAATATTTGGCCATGATATGTGAGCGCCATTAAAAAAACAAAAGGAAACAAACTGGGGCTCCATAATGCCTTGGCAAATTAGAAAATGGTGCCTCTTTAGGTCGACACAGCCTCATATCAGTTCAGCTGGCAGAGCACCGGCTGGGTTTCAGCCCCATCTGTTAATTTCACAGGGTGCTTGTGCAGGGCATAACCTGTACATCTGTACGTGGCAGCCCTGTGACCAGGGATTAGTGAATTGGCCACTTTCAGCTCTAATGGGTCTTTCCATGCATCCACACTCCCGTTTCACAGATCCTATCTACTTGATAGGATGTTAATAGGTTGACCATCATGTAAAATGGCGGACCTTTCTTCCAAAGAACTCTAGGGATGTTAACCTTATTCATCATCTCAACTCTTTTGAGCAGTAAGAAAGGGCAGCCCCCGGGACGCGCACTACTCTCATCTCTGTGCCTCTGCGTATTCTTTACTTGCCTGCAGTGCCATACCCCTCACTTCCCCATATCCAAATTCCACCTCTACCTGCAAGAACTGTTTCAAACCCATCCTCTCCATGAAATCTTCTCAGACTTGCTCAGCTGGAAGTACTTTCTCCCTCCTTTAACAAGTTCCCAGGGAATCTGCCTCTTTGTTCTCTACTTACGGATTCAATATTTCCACTAAACCAAGAACAAACCTGTTGCCATCAAGTCGATTCCAACTCAGTGACCTATAGGACAGAGTAGAACTGTCCCATAGGGTTTCCAAGGAGCGGCTGGTGGATTCGAACTGCCGACCTTTTGGTTAGCAGCTGAGCTCTTAACCACTGTGACACCAGGCCTCCAGTATTTCCACTACCTAAGTGTAAGTCCTGAGAATAAAGCCCATCCTGGAATGAATGAATGAATAAACGAGTAATTATTCCCATTTGACATATGTAGAAACTGTGATAGTATGAGAACGCAGAGAAGGCAAAAAGAAAAATTAATCTACCAGCCAACAGATCCCACACAATCCATTTGTTGCATCCCCCCACATCTTTCTTTGTGGAGTAAAACTGTGAAAAGCTCTAGCAAAAATACAGAAACATTCTGATTGTTTCTAACCATGTACACATACCTTCTGTTTTCAACCACTCCTAACAACGATAAAAATGTTTCCTAAAAGTTTTTATTCCCATTTCCAAAAGCCATTATACTTTATGAGCCGCCCAAACTATATGTAATATATTTTTAAATTTCAAACTAACAAAGTAGCTTGAGAAGTATTAAGGCAATTTTTTAGAAAATCACACATTCCTATTTCCCTTAAGTTTTACATCTTCCGTGCAAAGTGGGAACCTACTGAGACTCTCATGTTCCAGGGTAGACCGCTCCTCCTGGCCCCTTTGAGACTCAGCTCAATTATCACCTCCTCAGGAGAGTCCTCCTGACCCCCTCAAAGATCTTATCTCTTCATCAAGTGCTCTCATGGCACCATGTCCCTCTCTTTCACAGGCCCTGCATGGCTGTATTATTATGTTTGATAATTATTCATTTGTGTCTGTCTCCCCCAGTGGCCTGAAACTCCATGAGGCCAGGGACCATGCTTATCGCTATATGCCCTAGCACTCAGCATGATGTCTGGCACATAGTGGTACTCAAACGAAAGAATAAACTGTTTTAGAAAAACAGAGACAATGGTGTCTGTAGGTGGAGTCAACACAAAATTCCCCTCGTTGCAGTCGAGTTGATTTCAACTCATAGCGACCCTATAGGACACAGTAGAACAGCCTCATAGGGTTTCCTAGGCTGTAATCTTTATGGAAAGATGCCACATCTTTCTCCTGCAGAGCAGCTGGTGGGTTCAACCTGCTGACCTTTCAATTAGCAGCCACGCGCTTAACTACTGCACCAGCAGGGCTCCTCAACACAAAATTAACAGGCAAAAAATATTTTCTATTCCTAAAGTATTTTGAAAATGAGTTAAAAGGGTACTTGAATTGTCTGTTTCTGGAGGTTGTTGTTGTTGTGTGTCGCGGAGTTGATTCCAACTCATAGCGACCCTACAGGACAGAATAGAACTGCCCCATAGGGTTTCCTAGGCTGTAATCTTTATGGAAGCAGATCGTTGGGTCTTCTCTTCTTCAGAACAACTGGTAGGTTTGAACCAGACCGGCACAATTGGCCCCTGACTTCTGTATTCCCAACCACACCCTTGCCATCCCATCAACACTACCAATAAGGATGTCTTCCTCACTGAGCTTATTCCCCTCTTTTAAGCCCCCTCCCTTATACTCATGCAAACGCAGGTGCACATCCACACACAAAAACTGCTAAGTTCCCAGCACCACTGGCAGGGCTAGGCCAACTGCCAGAGGCACTGTGGGTTGTACATCAGCCACTCGGCCAACAGTAAGACTTCTAGCACCAGAAAGGGAATCAAGTGGTGGGTGTATGTGGGCCAACAGCACTACCTTCCATATTTTTGTGACCTTCTAAAATATATAATTTGAAAACAATTTTTAAAAAAGTTACAGGGGACAAAGCCCTGACAGAGACAGATGGAGACTATAAGATCAATTTGAGACCAAGACTGAAAGTCTAAACAATAACTCCAGCAAGAGCCTTAAACCAAGACATACAGACACTAAGGTCAAAAGAAAAAGACAGTGAATCAATGAGATACTCAGAGAAGCAGAGACTGGACAGAAACACCTCAAGGCAAAATAAGATATTTGGGGGAAGGGGAGGGCTGGAGTAAACAGTACGCTCTGTTAAGGGAAGGCAGTACACATTTATTCCAAGTGTCAATCCCAAAACATCCTCAATTGGCTGACAATCCAGTTCCTGAATGAACACAGAATCGAGTGTTGTCTTGATGGAGCATCTATTATGTGCCAGGTATAGCGGTGTAGTGGTTAAAGTGCTCGGATGCTAACTGAAAGGTCAGCAGTTTGAAGCCACCAGCCGCTCTGCAGGAGACAGATGTGGCAGTTGGCTTCTGTAAAGATTTACAGCCTTGGAAACCCTATGGGGCAGTTCTACTCTGTCCTACAGAGTAGCTATGAGTCAAGTGGGTTTGGGTTTTTGTTTTTTTTTTTTAACTGTTATTGTTGTGCTAAACCAATAAAAAGGAAAGTGGTAATGTTTCCAAGTGACAGTAATTCTTAGAACCAGTTCTGCCACTGTCTGAAGGACCTGGAAGTCCCCTCCAGGCTTTCTACTTTATCCATCATACCCTTTGGTAATCAAACTTGCTTTTCCTCAAACATTAGCATTCGAGATAAATGAAACTCTTACTATTTTCAGTTCTATCAAGTTATTAGTACCACAAACTACTGAAACCCACAACCATTTAAAAAATATTTATGACACTTCACTGAAGATGACTCTGGGGTGTCAACTGTTAATTGGGTTACAATTCACCCAATATGAAATAAATAACTTAAATAATCCTGTAACTAAATTTCCTTAATTATGAACTAAATTTCATAATATAAAAACTTCCAGAAACAACTCTCCAGCCCAAATGGTTTCATTGGGGAAATCTACCACCAGTTAAAAAAAAGAATTAACACACACACACACACAAGAGAACTAACACCAATTCTACACAATCTCTTTCAGATAATAGGAGAAGAGGGAGAAGCTAGTATTATCCTGATACTAAAGAAAACTATGGACCAATACTCCTTGTGAACTTATATGCAAAAATCATTATTAGCAAATAGAATTCAGCAATATAATAAAAAGAATTAAACACCATGACCAAGTAGAATTTATTCCAGAGATGGAAGACTGGTTTAATATTCTAAAGTCAATCAATATAACCCACCATATTAACAGGCCAAAGAAGAAAAATCCCATGATCACATCAATCGACGCAGGAAATGCACTTGACAAAATTCAACACCCCTTCATGATAAAAACTCTCAGCAAAATGGGAATAGAGGGAACTTTCAGAACTTGATAAACAGCATCTACAAAAAGTCTACAGCTAACATCATACTTAACAGTAAAAGACTGAATGCTTTCCCTCCAAAATTGGGAACAAGGCAAGGATGTCTGCTCTCACCACTGCCATGAAATACAATACTGGAAGTTCTAGCCAACACAATAAGGCAAGAAAGGAAATAAAAGGCATGCCGATAGGAAAGGAAGAATAAAACTGTTCCTATTTTCAGATGACATGATTGTCTACAGAAATAATCCCAAGGAGCCTAACAACAACAACAAAAAAAAAAAAAACCCTCCTATAACCAATAATTGGGTTCAAAAAAGTCAAACAATACAAGGTTATATACAAATCAATTGTATTTCTATATACTAGCAATGAACATGTGGTAACCAAAATTAAACATACAATACCATTTCCAATTGATTTAAAAAATGATGTCAATAAGCCTGTTATTTTAAAAAACTAAATACTTTGGTGTAAATCTAACAATACTTGTACGATGAAAACTTTAAAACACTGATGAAAGAAATCAAAGACCTAAATATGTGGGGAGATAGAACATGTTCATGGATTGGAAGACTCAACATAGTAAAGACGTCAATTCTCCCAAAATTGATAAATAGGTTAATGCAATTCCTATCAAAATATCAGGAAGATATTTTGTAGATATAGATGTGATTTTATAAAATTTATATGGAAAGGCAAAGGAAGTTAAATAGCTAAAACAATTTTCAAAAAAAAATAAAGTGGAAAGAATCACTATCTAATTTTAAAACTTATTATTATATAGCTACAGTAATCAATCTCATGTGGTATTGGCAGAGGGATAAACCGATAAATGGAACAGAATAGAGAACCCAGAAATCGACCCTCACAAGTATAGTCAACTGATTTTTGGCAAAAGTGCAAAGGCAATTCAATGGAGGAAGAAGAGTTTTTTTAAAACAAATAGTGCTGAAGCAACTGTGTGTACACACACACACATACATATATACAGGCCAAAAAAAAACTTGCCCTAAATCTCACAATTCATGTAAAAATTAACTCAAAATGTATCACGGATTTAAATGTAAACAGTAAAATTATAAGACTTTTAGAAGACAACATAAGAGAAGATCTTCAGGACTTGGTGGTTGATGAAGAGTTCTTAGACATGATGACACCAAAAGCACAATCCACAAAAGAAAAAAATCAGTAAGCTGGGCCTCATCAAAATTAAAAACTTTTGCTTTGCAAAGTCCATGTGAAGAAGATGAAAACACAGCTACAAGAGTAGAAAATACTTGCAAACCACATTTCTGATAAGGGATTCATATCTAGAATTTATAAAGAACTTTCAAAACTCAACCCAAAAAAATTAACAAACAATCCAATTAGAAAATAGGTAAAAGACATGAAGAGATATTTTACTGATGAGAAAATACAAATGGCAAATATGTTCAACATCACTAGCTATTAGGGAAATGCAAATTAAGACCACAATGAGATATTACTACCCATCACAATAGCTGAATTAAAAACAGTGACAATATTAAATGTTAGCAACCATGTGGAGAAACTGGTGGGAATGTAAAATGGTACAGCCACTGTGGAAAACAGTTTGTCAGTTTCTTAAACTAAAACATGCGCTTAGCATACTCAATAGCATTCCTGGGCATTTATCTCAGAGAAATGAAAATGTATGTCCACACAAAAGCCTGTGCACAATTGTTCATAGAAGCTTTATCTGTAACAGTACGAACAGTGAATGGTTAAACAAACTGTGGTACATCCATACCATGGAATAATACTCAGCAATACAAAGGAACAGACTATTGATACATGCAACAGCTTGGATGGATCTCAAGGGCATCAGGCTGTGAGTAAAAGAGCCAATCCAAAAGTTTACATACCGTGTGATTCCATTTATATAACAGTCTCCAAATGACAAAACAGTAGAGATAGAAAACAGATTTTTGGTTGCAGGAGTGGGTGGGTGGTTAGGGACAGGAGAGGGGACCGGCACGGGTGTAGCTATAAAGGAGATCACTGTGGTGATAGAATAGTTCTGTATCTTGATTCCGGTGGTAGTTAACAGGAATCTACTACACATCTGGTAACTATAGAACTACACACACAATTTATACCTATGTCAATTTCCTTCTCTTTTCAATTTCCTACTTTTGATATTTTGCTATAGTTACGTAAGATAAAACCAACAGGGGAAACTGGGTGAAAGGCACACAAGTCCTCTCTGTACTACCTTTGCAACTTCCTGTGAATCTATAACTGTTTTAAAATAAAAAGTTGAAAAGCTCCTTATCTGAATTATGCTCACACTTGCTTTTTATGTTTAAATGTCATATTTTAATATCTCTACTGGTAGAACAGTAATAATCTTATGTGGTAATTAACTGTAGGTCTACTGATTTATGCATGAATGTTGAAGGGTATGCTCTAGAGTGAGCATCTCCATAACTACATGACATTTCCAAAATGGAAGATGCTCTAATCTCAAGGTTCATTAGAATGAAGCTGCTAGATTAAAAAAACCAAACCTGTTGCCATCAAGTCGATTCCAACTCGTAGCAACCCTAAAGGACAGAGTAGAATTGCTCCAGAGGTTTTCCAAGAGCACCTGGTGGATTCAAACCGCCGATCTTTTGGTTAGCAGACGTAGCATTTAACCACTATGCCACCAGCGAGTGTTTAATTTAAAAAAGGTAGGCAGTGGTATGAATCTGTAAAATTGTCACATTTATAGAAAAAAAAGTTATCAATTTCACAAGGACAAAGGCAGCTCCAGAGTGCTCAGAGAAAGAGGCACTGTTCTGTCTTCTAGGACTTTCCAGCTCCTTCCACAGGCCAGTGGACTTTGTAACCTAGCACGGTGTCTGGCACACATGAGGAGGCACACAATAAAAACTGCCGAATGAATGAATGAATGACCTAAGAGCTGCCTTATTTTTGCTCATGGAAACAAGAAATGTAGGTTTCCAGATCCCTTGCCATAATTCTGATCTATATTTTGAATACTTTTCTACAGTAAATCTCTACTTGGAGAGAAAAAGAGGTTTGTTTAGATGGAATTTTTAAAGAAGAATGTGAAGTAGCAATCAAAAACACAGCACCTGTGTTACGAAGTTTTAGAAAATATATTTTAATCTGCCCACTCCCCCGCCATTTCCTAAATCCTCTTCCCAGCATCTGTTTATATACTGCTAATGCCACAGATTATCCCTATTCTACCAGCAAAGACTTGGTGCCTATGCTGGAGGCCACTCTCATTCCCACTGTTCCCCTCCTCCCACCCTTTACCATAAATTCTCCAAATTCCCACCACATGTACCATTTCTTCCCCTTCCAAAAAGAGAAAGTGAAAGAGAAAACAACATCAAATGACCAAACCAAAACCCAAGCATGTTGCTGTCCAGTGAATTCCGACTCATGGTGACCCCAAGTGTTACAAAGTAGAACTGCTCCATAGGGTTTTCTTGGCTTTACTCTTAACAAAAGGAGACTGCCAGGCCTTTCTTCTGCAAGCTGCTGGGTGAGTTCAAACTACCAACCTTTAGGTTGGTAGTCAAGTGCAAACTGTGCACCACCCAGGGCTCCACTGGGCCTTGCAAAAGTTAAGTTTAATTTAGAACATAAATATTCAAACACAAGTGTTCACCACAAGGCATAATGCCTACTCCTAAAACATAAAACACAGAAGACAAAACTGAGGTGCACCACCCTTACTGAATTCACCTTCAGCCACAAGACTTGGGAAATGGTTACCTAAATTTGTAGATCATGTAAGCTCCTTGTTCTCCGTTGCTTGGGGATTGGGTGAAGAGGGGGATGAAGGTCAACTCTGTCATTTGTTAGGAGCTGAGAAGTGTAGGGGGTTGAACTTGATGGGAACTAATATATGCGCCAGGCACTGTGCTAGGAAATTTTGTACTCATCACGTTATTTACATACAAAACTCATCAAAGATCTGTTAGTAGGGGAAGGAACCCAGGCTTAGGGTTACACTTGTTACAATTGCCCCTTACTCACTGTATGACCTTGAATAAGTCGGTTTTTCTATCAGTAACCTGTTGGATGCAGGACCTGATCTCTGAGGTTCCTTCTAAGAATAAAAAACATTGGGACTCCAAGATGTCCTCTGTGTTGTAAATACAAACACTTAATTCAGAGCTATACCAACATTGTCTAAAATACATTTTCCAGAGCAAACGCTATTAAGCCAATTTAATTCTATACAGCATTGTTAAACCATTTCCAATTGCTTCTATTTTACTAAAATTATCTTTATCAGAATCAATTCGCTTCTATGTAAAATGTAATGAAGATTTACCCTATCCATTCGTTCTGAGTTTTTTCTTTTTCTGATCAAGTCACAAATTTTACCAATTATTTCCCACCACCGGGAATGTTCTTCTGTGGTTTTGATTTTTCATTTCAATTTTTCCCGCAAGTGCTTTATCCTGGGTCTGGAGGACTATGTGTAAACCTGTAATAGACACAAATGTCCACCTCCTACAGTTGACGTTCAGAAAGTTGGTCTAGGGCATCTAGTACTTGGTAAACCAAGTCTATAATATCTATATGCTACGAGAAGTCTGATGTCAAAATTAAACAATTCTCTGATTTGAGCTCCGAGGATGAGACAATCGCCCGTCTCGCTTCTAGGACACACCCAGTCTCCTCCCACTGGGGGCAGCGCTCAGCGCGCATCTGTCAGCCGAACGTCCCCGCAGGCACGTGCCTCAGGTTGTCCCGGGTCCGGGGAGCAGCCAGAGGGAGAAAAAGGGGCAGAGAACGCCGAGAAGCCCCAGAAAGCCCCGCGGGGCTAGACCGGGACTGAGGGCGGGGCGGACCCGGTGCCGCCAATACCTCCAGGCCCGCCCCGCACCACACCCGACTCCGCCTGCTCTCGGCTAACGGGCCACGGCGCCCGCCTCCGCGCGCGCCAGCCCTCACCTCGCCCCGACGGCGGCCTCCGGGAGTCGGCGCCCACCCGCCGCGCTGCTGCGCTACCTGCCGCTTCCCCGGCAACCTTAGTCGACCGGGTGGACCCGGTTCAGGTCACCGGCGGCCCGAGCGCAGGTAGGCAGTGGTGCGCAAGCGCAAACTTTGCGACGCCATTGGCTGCTGCTAAGCCCACATCGCCGAATCCACCAATCCTGGTGCACCTCCACAGCCCAGTTCCCGGCAGGGTCGCAAAGAGAATGGGTCTTAAAGGGCTGCGACCCAAAAGTAGAGGGGCGTGGCTGGGCGCACCCCTTCCAGTTCCCTCCCCACCTCCCAGCTCTCACCCGCGTGGGTTTGAGGTACAAGCCTGCAAATCCCGCTTCCAGAGGTGAGAGGAGGCTAATCTGGATTCCTGCCGGTGCAGTGAGCTGGGCTGATGTTCGGGGGCGGGGAAGCTCCGCGTGACGGCGGAACACTCCTGGGGCGTAGGTTCCGCGATGCCCCAGGCTAGGCTGGAGGCCTGAGACAGACAAACCAAATAACACGGACTCCTGCCAACCTGGACGCGGAGCCAAAGTCCGACCCCGGAGCGACCACGCCCCCGGCTGGAGGCAGAGGCACCCACAGTTGGATGGCGGGCTGACGGGAGACTGAGAGGCAGAATTTGTCTATTTATTCATTCAACGAGTATTGAACACCTACTGTGTGCCAGGCACTGTGCCACGTACTGCGAACATTGCGAGGAACTCCTGACACTAAAAGCTACGTTAAGAGAGGACAGTGTGAGAGCACCCATCAAACAGTTACACAAACACGTGTATAAATACAAACTGAGATACATGTTCTTCGGAGAGGAACAAGGTTTTTGGAGGGCATTTACAGGAGCATCTGGCCTGGAACGGGGGTCAGAGGAGGTTTCCCTGAGAATGTGACGCTGGCTAAGTAGCAGCTGACTAGGCAAAGGGGAGAGAAATAGAGTGTTTCAGACAGAAGGAACAGCGTGTATAAAGAACCCTGTGTAGAAGGCAGTAGGGCTCCTTTCCATTTTGTAAAAATCACTTTGGTTGTTGAAGTGAAGATCAGATTGGAGAAGGCTCAGGGTAGGTGTGGTGAGACCAGCCCAGAAGCCAGTTTGTCCGGGCAAGAGAGGATGGAGCTGTAGCGGGGACTGGGATGATGGTGAAGAAGAAGAGAACTGGGCAGGCTGGAGAGAGATGTAGGAGCAAAATCAACAGGACTTGGTGAAGAACTGGATGTGAAGCGGTGAGGAAGAAGCAGTCAAGGATAATGCCACTGTTCTGGTGAATAAACGGATGATGGAGGGATTCACAGATATGGAGAACACTGGAAGAGGATCTAATTTGGGAAAGAAAATTGATCACTAGTTCCATCCTAGACAAGTTGAATTCAAGGTGCCTTTGAGACTTCTGTTGGGATGTCAACATAGGCAATTGGATATACAGGTTGCAGTTTAATGCAGAGGTCTAGGTTGGACATAGACTTTTGAAAGTCATCAGCGCATGGGTGGAAATTGAAGCCAAGGGCAGGGCTTGCATGGGCAAAGAAAAACTACATAAATGAAAAGGCACAATACCAACCAGGTCCTCAATACTGCCCAGCCATCCTACATCTGCCAGTTCAGCTCTCTCCTCGATTCTCCACAACACCAATCTCAAAATCTCCTGCATTCTTCCCAGATCTCCTACTCTTCCACCCCGCTTGCTCTTCTAGGTGCCACCTTCACTGAGGAAAGAGCAACCATCAAAGTGATGTTCCTCAGCTCCCACCAACTCCTTCCCTTCCAGTGACTACCTTCTTTTCCTTAGCCCCTTTAAAGCCAAACTTCTTGAGAAAAGTGGTCTACAGTTGAGGACTCCATTGCTTCACATTTTTTGTCATTCCTGAGTGTCCATCATTTCTGACTTAATGCCCTCACGACTGCTCTTATCATGGACATCAAAGATCTAATGCTTATCTTGCTTGACCTTGCAACAGCATTTGACATTGCTGTTTTAGCTTTTCTTCTCTGCCACACTGTTTTCTTAAATTCAACGACCGCATACTCTCCTGGTTTTCCTTCTATATCACTAATCTCTTTCTCCCCCTAGTCTCCGTTGCAGCCTCTTTTCCTCTGTCACGAGGGGAGCCAACACATCCTCCTTAGGCAACCTTACTCACTGCATGATTCCAATTAGCTTCCACAAGTGATGTCTCTCAAAGCTGTATCTCCAGCCCAGCTCTCAGCCCTGAGTTCCAGACCCAAATATCCGACCACAACTTGAACATCTTCACTGAACATGTCCACGGCTGAATTTATCACCCTCACCTCCAGTCCAGCTTTTACCCTACTTCTCTACCTCCATAAATGGCATCATCAGTTTCTTAGTTGTCCAAGTCAGAACCCCCGGAGTCATCCCTAATTCCTTTCTCTCCCTTCCTCCACCGTGCAGTCACCAAGGTTTGGCAGAAGGCAATGCCCAGAGTTCAGGCTCCAAATGCAGGTCTGGAGGCACCAGAGTGATGTCAAAAGAGCAGTGGACTTGGAGTCAGATATCTGGTGCCAGCTACGATTCCCGTGTGATCCCGGGCAAGCTGCCTCTGAAAATGAACTGTACACAGCACCTAAAATTCGAGAAGCCGACGCTGGGCATGTTAGCAACTGTCCCGGCCCCGCCCCCGAGGGAGTTTCCCAGAGTGCGCAAGCGCAAAGCATTCGTGACCGACCCCGGCCACTAGGGGAGTGACCCGAAGAGAACGCTACATTTGCGCGTCTCATGACAGATGACGTCCCTTCCGTTCACCGCCCTCTAGGCGGGCGAACCCAATCAACGTCGTGAGCGTGAGCCCTACCTACCGTGGGTTTCTGCGGGGTTAGTATTAAGCCTGGGTTTGCTGGTTGGTTCCGGGCGAGGCGCAGACCTGACCGTGGGGCCTGAAGCCCGATTCCGTCCAGGCTTCCCGGGATGTCGGTGGCCTTCGTACCGGACTGGCTGCGAGGCAAAGCGGAAGTAAATCAAGAGACTATCCAGCGGGTGAGCGTCGACGCGGGCAAAGAGAAGGGGTTCCTTAATAGAGATCCCGAGGGGCTGCGAGTTGCGGGAAGCTTCTTGAAGTGATTGGCGTCCGAGCTGAAACTTGTATGGGGCGTTGACCTGCAGGGGTACGGGGTGAGATGGGGACGGAGTCAGGAAAGACTCAAGGGAAAGACAGCCCGGTAGGGGGGCGTGCAGTCATCCCGCCGTCCTGACGTCGCTTCTCTGTGATCTTTCAGCTTCTGGAGGAGAATGACCAGCTGATTCGCTGTATCGTGGAGTATCAGAACAAGGGCCGGGCAAACGAGTGCGTCCAGTAAGTACTCCCGCCCCTGCTGTTGGGTGGAGGGGATGTCCTGAATTAGGAGTCTTGAACTAATCTTAGTTGAGCCTCATTTTACAGTGGAGGAAAGGAAGGCTCAGAGAGGTTTCCTACCTGCGCGCAGCCTGTACATTGTGGAACCTGGAGTCAGACCTGGCTGCTGCTTCAAAACTTTTTTATTTGGATAAAGGCGCTTAGCAAATACAGGTCATAATTACTAGGAGAATTTAGGATGAACCATGTATGACAAATGGTGTTGTCAAATCCTCTTACTTGAGGACTAGTTATCGTTTATCTTGAGAACATGTATGAAATGGGTTGCATCTGCTTGGCTATAAAGGATAAAATTCCTTTCTGTCTTTGCAGTCTCCTTAGTGGATTGCTTGAGATGCTCATCATAATCTAGCTTAATGCTTATTCAGTAATAAAAGTGAGTCACGTAACATGCACATTTCCATCTGAGGTTGAACAAGGTGATGACCCTCTGCTTTACTGTAAGCAAGTGTCCTTTTCACGGTGCATTTAGTGCCACTTTTTTGCATTTTTGTGCTTTTAGTTGGTGATTTTATTGCTTAACATGGCCCTCAAGCATAGTGCTGAGGTGCTTTATAGTGTTCCCAAGTGCTAAAAGGCTGTGATGTGCCTTACAGAGAAACTACCTGTGTTAAATAAGCTTTGTTCAGGCATGAGTGTAGTGTTGTTGGCTGTGAATTCAATGTAAATGAGTCAACAATGTATATGAAATAATTTGTCTTTAAAGAGAAACATACATCCATCAACAGATGAATGGATAAACAAAATGTGGTACATATATACAATGGAATACTACTCAACCAGTAGGAGAAATGAAATCTTGATATATACTACAATATGGATAGAGCTGGAAGACATTATGCTGAGTGAAATACATCAATCACAAAGAGACAAATATCGTATGACCTCACTTATATAAAAAGACAAATGTATAGAGAACAAAGTTTATTTGCGGTTACCAGGGGCAGGAGGAAGGAGGAAAGGGGGGAGTTAACGGTGATGGAAATATGTTGATTAAGGGTAGGGTTGCACAGCTGATTGTTGCAAGTGCCGTCAATAAGTTGTGCATCCATTAAAAGTTGTGTAATAGAACATATTTACAACAATGACGAGAAAAAAAAAAAAGAGTAGCTGCTTAGGCTGATTATGTACAACCAAAAACCTCATGGGATTTGGTTCTTGGTTTGGAGGATTAGGGTCATGGTTTCATGGGACATCCCAGAAAATTGGTCTAATAACATGTTTACTGCTTCTGTTCTACCTCCTAGTTAGATGTGTAGTGCCTGGGTCTTAAAAAGCTTGCAAGCAGCCATCCAAGGCATGGCATTTGGTCTCTATTTGCCTGGAACAACAGAGGAAGAAGGGGAGTCAGGGATAGGAGGAGGATGTGGAATGTGTGGCTAATCGCCTCCATGAACAACAGCTCCCTTTGCCAGGAGACCAGAAAAACTGGATGATGTCCAGTTACCATTACTGAACATTTTGATCAGAGATTCCATAGAAGAATCCTGATCAAAAGGGAGAAAATGCAGAACAGATTTTCACATTTTCATGAACTCCAGACTTCTAGAGCCGTGAAGGTTGGATGAACCCCTGAAACTATTGCCCTAAGGTATAATCTTTAAATCTTAAACCAAAAATATCCCCTGAAGTCTTCTTAAAACCAAAGAATGGTTTGGCTTAACTAGTAAAAAATGTCTGCCTTGAGCATTATGCTCTTTTAAGAACTATCTATATGGGATGAAATTGACAACAGCAACTCGAAAGATTAGATAGGAACCTTAGGGGGCAATGAATTTATGTTAATGGGGTAGGAGCAGAAAACTAAATAAATAAATAGACCATGAAAAGCACACTTGTTTAACTCAGAAAAGGAAGGTGAGAATGGTTACACAATTTGAAGAATGTAATCAGTGTCACTACATTGTACACGTAGAAACTGTTGAATTGATGTATGTTTTGCTGTGTATATTCTCAACAAGAAAATAAATAAAAATTATATATATATGAAAAAGGGAGAAATGCACATAAAACAAGGTTATGTATTAATCCGTTGATGAAAATGTGACCAGAGGCTCGCAGGAATCTAACCCTGTACTCCTCCTAGAGCAGTGATTCAGTATTTACTCAGTGTTCACAGCAACTTTACAGAACATAACTACTGTGAATGATGAGAATCAACTATATATTGTTGATTTAAAGCCTTGTGTTTAGGAACACTAAACATGACTTCAGCACTATACTTGGGGGCCATTTTAAGCAGTGAAATCACCAACAAAAAGCAAAAGAATTCAAAAAAACACAGTACTAAATAGACCATGAAAAGCACACTTGTTTATAATGTGAGAGCTGAAACGAAAGGCAGAGCATCACCATGTTTGACCTCAGCTAGGAACGTGTGTCAGGTGATTCAAATAACTTGCCACTTTGCGCCGTCCGTGAGTGACTGCGAAAGCACCAGGAGTGTTGATGTGGGATTACAAATAAATTTTAGCAAGTAGGCAACTTCAGAGTTTGGAATTCACAATAATGAGAATCGACTGGGTATGATATCATTATTACTGAAGAAATAGGAGCCCTGGTGGTGCAACGGTTACACGCTCAGCTGCTAACCAAATGGTCAGTGGTTTGAACCCAGCAGTGGCTCTGCTGGAGGAAAGACCTGGCGATCTGCTTCCATAAAGATTTCAGCCTAGGAATCCCTATGGGGCAGTTCTGTTCTGTCCTATAAGGTCGCTATGAGTCAGAATCGACTCGACAGCACACAACAACTGAAGAAATGTTTAAGAAAGCCATATTTCCTCCCCTCTCTTAAAAAAAAGAAAGAAAGAAAGAAAAGCACCTATAATCCCTCACTGGAATACAGTAGAGTACCTCCTTTGAGTAAGTCTTCACCTTTGACTCTGGCATTTGGTGTTTTTCACTTAGAGTTTATACTAAACACTTTCTCATTTTTTCTATATAGAAAATAGTGGCAAACATTCTGTTTAGTGCAGTGACTCTCAGCCTGGGGTGAGAACATAATCAGAATCTCCTAGTGGGGTTTTTCACATTGCACAGGACACACTCCCTGACCCCTGCTCTGATTTATTTTCCTGGGTGGGGAGCTCTACCCGCCGGGTTGAGAATTGCTGCTGTAGTAAGCTCACATTGATAGTGGAAGTCCCGCCGGGTTGAGAATTGCTGCTGTAGTAAGCTCACATTGATAGTGGAAGTGTCTCGTCCCTTCTTTAGTTTGTTCAACAGATATTTTATAAGTACTACTGAGTACCAGATACTGTTTCAGGTACGGAGGAATCAGTAGCAAAACATACCAGCTTTGCTCTCATGGGGCTTGCATTCTAGACTCTAGAAGCTAAAGGAGGAAACTATATTTTTTGGCACAAGTGCTAGGCAGGGAAGGTGAGGGGGTGCTATTTTATATATGTTGTTTCTGATATGGTGACTGTTGAGTAGAGGTCTGAGATGAGCAAGGCCAGCTATGCAGATATGTAAGGCAGAGAAGCAACAGGTGGAAAGACACCCCCGCCCCCTTCCTCAGGCAGGAGCATACTAGATATCTTCAAGCTACAGCCAGGAGGCCATTGTGACCAGAACTCAGTGAGCAAAGAGAAGTGTTAGGAGATGAGATCAGAGAGGTAACTGGAGGCCCCCCATCAGGTAGGTGGCCAGCTTCACTCTGAGTGAGATGGAAGCTGTTGGAGAGTTTTAAACAGAGGAATGGTGTGATCCTGGCTTATATTGTACAATGACCACTCAGGCTGCTGTGTGGAGAATAGACTAGGGGCACAAAGGGAGAGCAGGGAGACCAATTAGAAGACTATTACAATAGTTCAAGCAAGAAATGACAGTGGTTTGGACTAGAGTGGTAGCTGTGGAAATGATAAGTGAGATTGGGTGAGATTCTGGATATATTTTCCTTGAATATGTAAAACAAGAAGGTTGATAACACTGACCTTGTAGATGAGCCATTCCACTAGAGTGGGTAAGTTCTTTTCCAGTGTTTTGTTCATGGTTCCAAAAAAAACAGCTGCTGTCAAGTTGATTCTGACTCAAGGTGACCTCATGTGTATCAGAGTAGAACTGTGCTTCATAGGGTTTTCAATTGCTGATTTTTCAGAAGTAGATCACCATGCCTTTCTTCTCTGGTGCCTCTGGGTAGATTCGAACTGCCAACCTTTCTGTTAGTAGCCGAGCACTTTACTGTTTGCACTACCCAGGGACTCCTTTTGTTCATGGTAGGAGTTGGTGAAAACAAACTGCTAATTTTTGCCTGCTTTTCATCCATAGGTACCAGCATGTGTTACACAGAAATCTCATTTATTTGGCTACCATTGCAGATGCCAGCCCAACCAGTGCTTCAAAATCAATGGAATAATCTTCCAGTTGGTTGTCCTGAAGAGTAATTGAATGTAGCCTACCTCCTACGAAATGGAAACAAGATTATTAGCACCTCAGCTGCTTAAAACGTGACTGAAACCTCTGTGGCTCATTTAAAAATGTAACAATGTGAAGAAAGCTACTAAATTAATGTTATTGGGAATGCACGTATTTAATAACTTAGCAAACTCCCTCAATATTGACCCAGGGTGTCCTCTTTCCTGAAATGGGAGTGCGTTTGGGTAACAAACACATCATGGGCACCTTCAAGCCTACCATTTTAGTTTCAGCCTGAAAAGGAAACTGAGTAGGTGTTGGGCAGTTAGCAGGAATTAGGGAGACTCTCAACTGAGACCTTGCCAAATGGACATATAACTGTGTGCCCCCTTCTGCCAGTTTGTAGTCGTGGTGCCTCTGACTGCTCTTTTCAGGTTGCTTTGAAATAAAGCTTGCCTTTCCATGAAAGACAGATGTGGAGGTGTACAAGTTTCTGTGTAACAGCATTCCATCTAGAAAAAGTAAGGAATTAAAAATATATGTAACAGCAGTACCATTGTCAAACCCAACAAAATTAATAATGCAGTAAAACCTGTGTAAAGTGGAAACCTGTCAGAGAAGGAAAACTCGAATACTTCCCACTAATAGAGAACAACAGAAAAGTGGTGAGACTGCACCCTGTCAAAGGTGGAAAACTTGGGAGACGCAGAAAAACAAGGCAGTTCCGTTGAGTTGTGGCTTTCACAGGTTTCACTGTAATTCTTAATTATGATCTAATAACATCTAATACTAATAGATGTTCAATTTTTCTCAGTTGTCCCAAATGTCTTTTTGTTGACTTGTCTGAATCAGGATCCAAACAAGATTCACACATTGCAATTAGTTACGTCTCCTAAGTCTCAAAATATTTAACAGTTCACATTTCTTTTCTGTTTCCAGGCCATTTATTTGTTAAAAAAAACTAGGTCATTTGCCCTAAAATTTCTCATGTTCTTGATTTGTCTTTTTGTATCCCTCTGGTGTTGTCAAACGTGTCCCACTGTAACCAACTTTTCCTGTAAATTGATAGATTGAGAGGCTATAAAGTCAGATTCAGGTTCTAATATTTTTGGCAAGAATGCGTCATAGGAGCTGAGTCCTTGCTTTTGCATCACCTCAGGAAGTGACCTGATTTTTAGTGGTATTAAGACTGAGGAGTGGGTTCATGTGATCTATTTTCAAGTTCTCAACCACGTTTCACTAAATCTTGCCAGCCTCAATCTGTTATTCGTTAGGGATTGCATAATGGTGCTTTTCTGTCCTTCCTTCTGCCTTCATTAGCTGTGTTTCTTCTGTAAAGAGCTTTTCCTCTGTAAGGATTCTCTGTAAAATGAGGCAAAGAGATTCCAGGAGGTGAACCTAACATTTAAAACCCTAGGCTTCTGGCTCCTTTTGTTAGGGATAAGGGTTTCAACCCCAGGGAGGGGGTGATGTGGAAATAGTGAAGAAAGACCTCAATCTGAATCCCAGCTCTATCATTTAACCTCTGAGAACTCCATTCCCTCACCTCTAAATTGGAGATAATGAGAATAACATGTGCCTCCTGCAAGAGCTAGACCTGGCAATCTGCTTCCATGAAGACTGCAGCCAAGAAAACCATATGAGGCAGTTCTACTCTGTCACGTAGGGGCGCTGTGAGTCAAAATTGACTCCAAGACACCTAACAACAACATCCGGAGGTTATGAGGTTGAAATAATGTGGTTGACAGTTGAGTACCCAGTGAGCATTCAATGTAAGTTACCCCTGAAGTGTGACCAGAGGGCCCTGGCCCTTTATAGGCTTTCTCAAGTGTGGGAGGGAGCATGTTCCTTTGCTCTTTCAACCATTCTGCCCTCCTTAGGTTTCTAGCCCATTAGTGGTCTCCTCCCTCCTCTGCTAATGGGTCTGGCCTGGCCAGCAGATGTATTTGGGGCCGTACAATGTTTCTACAGTTTTGAATTAGTTGCCAGCATTTAAAAATAAGAGAATTTTCCATTAAAGCCTGGATTTGTGGTAATGCTGTGCTTGCAGATCCACAGGGCAACCATCAGCTGGAGTGGGATGGCAGCTGCCCCCACATCACCTGGGCATCTTAACTTGTTTATGTAAGGCCTGGCACCCATAGATACTTGGGTGGAGCCATCAGAATAGCTTCAGCTGGAATGTGAACACAGGCTGATGTTTCAATTTGGGCCTCCCTGAAAGCAGAACCAGTGTGGTGTAATGAGTTTATGTGGACTTTTGCCTTGGTTCTGGGAAAAAGAAAACAGCTTGGGAGATTATCTCCCTGGGCCCTGAGGAGTTGTTACAGTTGCCCTAGTCCTTTGGAGAAGCTTGTTACTTTTGCCCAGGGAAGAAGCCAGTCCCTGCCAGCAGAAAATGTCAGTTATTATGCAAATAGATGGAGCCATTTGTGAGGGGACTGGTCGGTTATTATGCAAATAGTGTGCATAAAATCCACCCAATAGACTTGAGCCACTTGCTTATATAAGCACCTATCCCACAGAGGTTGAGGGGGACCTCACTGTCACTGAGAAGAGCCTGGAGTGGAGCGTGTTCTTTGGACCCAGGATCCCTGTGCTGAGAACCTCTTAGACTCAGGAGTCAGAGTTGTATACTGGAGTGGCAGCAGCAGAACCAGAAGACTGACACAAGACAGCATGGTAGGCTTCCTGGCCCATGGAGCGAAGTGGCTACAGTGGGCTTGCCAACCCACAGAGCGAGCGAGCTGATGCCCTTTGAGCAGGAAGCTTGCTGGAGGTGTAGGGTACCTCCAAGCACTTGCTGGTGGAGCTAAAAAGCTGTATCATTTGCCTGAGCACGGTGGAGGCCAGGCCCAAGAAGGGGCTGAGAACAGCCTGACCTTGGGGCCTAGAGGAGGCCTGCATGGCTAGCCGAGAGAGAGAACTGTCCTACACCAAAGAAGGGAGGGTTGTGTTCACTTTAGGGGAGCCTTCTAGACCTTGCCTGTGTGCTTCTTGATATTGATCCTGTTCCTGTTATCTCCCGGTTAATCCTGATCCCATGTTAGTTCCCTAATAAACCATATAAATGTGAGTATGGTCTGTGAGTTCTGTGTGGCCACTGCAACGAATTGCTGGATGTAGCAGAGAACTAGAGAGTGCCGTGGGGTGGACGGCTGGTGTCAGAATTGGTAAAAAGGTTTAAGAGCAGAGGTATGTTTGACTTCCACCTCATAGGAATCAGCTTTGGGCTGATGCTGGTGCTGATTCTCATTCTTCCTTAAGTTAGATGAGATCCAATGATACCGCTACTTTGTTGCAATCAGTGAGAAGGCCTTGGGTGCAGATAGTTTATTTGGAAGTTTATTTTCTCAGGAAGCAGGACTAAGGCAGTGAGGAAAGAGGGAAGGAGGAAAAGCCACCTTAAGGGGGTGTTATAGAGTGCACTGTGGTAGGCAATAGGGGCTCAGTTCTGCAGTGACCTCTGAGAAACATGCAGAATGTCCCAGAATTATCCACCTGGTAGACACTGGTTGGAGGTTGCCTTCAGGGTGTTAGCTCCCCCGTACTACCAAGCTGCCTTTGTGACCAAGTGGGTCCGCATACGTCAGAGAAGGCTGAAGAAAGCAGAAAACTGCAGGGCAGGCCTCTGAGGTGGGCTACTGCAGGCACAAGAAGTCTGACCTAGCAAGAACTGCTACTGGCTGCGACCCACAGCAGAGGTGGACGAGGGGCTCTGACAGCACCAGTGTGGGCTCAGAGAGCAAGCTAGTCAGGCGCAGCTTCCTGGTGGGAGGGGGATACTGGAAGATAAAGCTCAGCTCTCCCCTGGAGGAAAGGGGGTTTGTGACCTGCTGTGTTACCTTCCCTTTGTCTTTTGGGAGGACGTTTCAGTCCCCAATCAGAGGACTGAATCAGGACAAATCAGGAATGTCTGAGAACAGCCCTGGCTGTTTAGCTATAGCCCACCCTACACTCCAGAGGACCCCTTCCTGGGAGATGCCCTAGAGAAGCTGGTGCAGGCCAGCTAGCGGTCATGGTCTGTGTTCCAGCACATCTCTATCTACTTCCTTCAGAGGAAGTCTGCAGCACAAGCATCTGCCATCACTTTTGAAGGCCCCAGGACTCAAAACAGCTGTGAAAAATGATTAAAAAAAAACAAAACAAACAGCAACCCTGACCAGATTATATTAACCACCAGTCCCTCTCAGAGAACCCCCAGCTTCAAGAGTTGAGCCTCCCACTCCACCTGTGAGCCCTTCTCCAACTCTCAGGGTCAAGCTGATCTCCCAATATCCCCAACAGGGTCCAAGCCCATCTCTCAGGGATTTTGTCACAGTGGTGACTTCTTCATTGCCACACTCTCCTGGGATAAGGATAGGACTGAAAACGGAAAGAACAGATCATCGGAGGTCAGGTTGTATCCCTGGGTGGCGCAAATGGTTAATGTACTCCAACCAAAAGGTTGAAGGTTTGAGTCCACCTAGAGACACCTTGAAAGAAAAGCGTGACATCTACTTCCAAAAAATCAGCCATTGAAAACCCTACGGAGCACAGTTCTACTCTGACACACATGAGGTCGCCATGAGTTAGAACCAACTTGAAGGCAACTGCTTTGTATCCCATAAAATGTTATCTTTCTACTTCCTCTCAAGGACCCTTGACACCTCAGTCTGACCATCAGAGACTCCTAGTGACAGTATAGCTAGGGAAGAGATGATGTTCAGTGCTACCTCGTGCCCTTGAACCCTTGCAATAAACCTTCATTACTAAAGATGACCTGAGTATATTTTTTAAACTAGGTACATAGCAGCTTCATTTTATTGTTACTCTACTTCACACGTATAATATTCTTTTGAATCTATTCCATTTTAATAAAACAATTAAGATTTTAATTAATCTATCAGCTATGTTCCCAGTGAAAAATCCCACAGATTCTATGTCTTCATTATCTAGTGCTGCTATAACAGAAATACCACAAGTGTATGGCTTTAACAAACAGAAACTTAACTTTCTCACAGTTTAGGAGGCTAGAAGTCTGGATTCAGGGTGCAAGCTCCAGAAGAAGACTTTTTCTCTCTGTTGGCCCTAGGGGAAGGTCTTTATCTCTTTTCAGCTTGTTTCCTGGTTCCTGAGAGATCTCATATGGCATGACATCTATCTTCACCATCTCTACATGCTTGCTTAATTTACTTTTTTTTATACCTCAGAAGAGACTGACTCACCTACTGCATCCAAGTGAATCAGGGGAAGCCTCCAGCCTGATGCCTGACCCACAGATTTGAGACTTGTCAGCCTTCACAACTGAGTGAGCCATTTTCTTGAAACAAATATCCCTCTATAAATATATATATATATGCTTTATGGGTTTGCTCCTCTAGAAGACCCAGCCTAAGACAAGTCCCAACTGCTGGTTGTGATCCAACTCTAAAAGGCTCAACACCCAGTATCATTACTTGGAAATTTCCACTGCCAAGGATTCCCTT